CTGATTTAAAGAAATTCTTGAATATTTTTTCCTAGTTGGCATTTTATTCTATGGACACATCAGGGAATGTTAAAAAAAATTTAGAAGTGTTTAACAGATTTCTAGATTGCCACTAGCTTCACTCTTCACAGTATGCTACCGCTGTATCCTTGAACACCTCTTCACCCAGGGCCAGATTTATACTTTACGTGCCTCCAGCACAGCATCTTCAGCACCCCTCTCCTCCCCGCACCTCCGCTTATAGCTGACCTTCATAGTTTTCCATAAAAAATGAAACAAGCAATATAAAAAATAATGTAAGTACTTTTTAACTTTTAAACCCACTTTTAACTTTTAGGCACCCCTATAACGCCTGCACCTCTAGTCATGTGCCTACTGTACCTAACTTGAAATCCGGCCTTGACTCCACCTGTAACCTATGTTAACATAATTTTTTTTTATTAAACATTTATTTTCAGAAGTACTCAATTCTCTTGACACTTTTTTCCAATTAAAACTAAAGAGGGTGTATTGCACTTGCAAATAAACAGGTATTTAAATATGATGGAAAGTGGTATAATAACTGCTCCTATAGTGGTCAAGGACTCCTAGCTTTGCTTCAGGCCTCCCTTTGCTAACACCACTCAAACAATGTGATTTTTACAGAACAGCAGTAGTGACATTAGTCATGTCAAACTGTACACATCAATTATAAGAAATCATGTCTCCAGCAATTCAGTTTTAATTAAGTTTAGAATCTGGCACTGCAACATCCAAACAGCTATTTTTAGCGCACACACTTGAAGACTCCTCCAAGAGGCAGTGTAGACATATCCTTAGTGACCACCTACAAAAAGCTGGGTTTAAGTGACTTTCTCACACAGGAGCTTTGTGGCACAGGTAGGGATAAAATCATTCTTCAAGGCAATATTTAACTGCCTTAGCCACGAGATCATCCTTTTCCCCCATGCATTCTCCTGCATCATTCACCATCATTCACTTCCCAACTTCAGAAACAAATGAGGCAGGAGTCCTACAGACAATAACCTCACTGACTAAACTACTGATTCATTCCTGGCACACAGTCCATCATGTGAACTGAATGAGGCAGGGGTCCTATAGAAAAAACAGTTTGTGATCATGTAATTAAAGACTGTATCATAATATATACAGAGCAGGGGGGTAAATTAAGGTTGCATGAGCAAACACAGCTGTAGCATTTTCTAACTTCCGAATATGATAGAATATACCCATGTTCACACCCTATACACTGTTATAATAATGTTTGTATGAAGTATGCCTTGTAAAGTATCATGTGAAAACTCAATTTGCTGATCAACAATATCATGGCAAAATGCACATAGCAGTGTTACATGTGAAGTTATAAACATAAGTTGAAATCATAACTAAAAATACAGTAGAACCTCAGAGTTACAAACACCTCAGGAATGGAAGTTGTCTGTAACTCAGACGTTTGTAACTCTGAACAAAACGTTATTGTTGTTCTTTCAAAAGTTTAGAACTGAACATTGATTTAATACAGCTTTCAAACTTCACTGTGAAGAAGGAAAATGCTGCTTTTCCTTTTTTTTTTTTTTTTTTAAGTAGTTTACATTTAACACAGTACTGTACAGTATTTGCTTTTTTTCCCCCCATCTCTGCTGCTGCCTGATTGCATACTTCCAGTTCCAAATGTGGCATGTGGTTGACTAGTCAGTTCATAACTCTGGTGTTCATAACCCTTAGGTTCTACTGTATGTTTCCCAGATAAGCCTGGGGAGTGGCCAAACCAGTTCCTCAGAGACAAAGAGCAAGCTGATGCCTCAGCCAGGTGTCAACTAGACATGGAGCATTACCTGTTAAGTGGCCATTCTTTGGCAGGAAAGGGGTCAAGGGCAAAATTCTACATTTTGGCAAAGAACCAGGATGGAGTTTCCTTCCACACAGACTGCTTGTCACCTTGTTCCCAGCTGGAAATGCTTCTCAAAGCGGGACAAGACTATAAAAAGAAGGGACAGACACCGCAAGACACTCCTCTCCCCGTCCCCTCCCGCCCATTGCATTCACTGCACCTGAAGAGACAAAGGAAGCAGCTGTTGGGCTCTAGGGGAGGGGTCCTGACCTGAGAGTTTGGTCAGCTGCTGGAGCTTGTGGTGAGAAAGTTTTCATTGCAACTAAGATAGTTTCTTAAGTAAATACTAGGAATCTTTATTTTTCTTGTAAACATTTCTGACTTTCATGCCTCATTACTTGTACTCACTTAAAATCTCTCTGTTTTATTATTTGATCTAACCCAGTGTGTTCAAGTTGAAGTGTCAGGGTAACTCCATTTGGGGTAACAAGTTATGTGCATATTATTGCCTTTAAGGAATAGGACTTAACATATTTGTATTGACCAGGAGAGGGCTGAGCTGTATAGGACATATGTTTCTGGGAAAAATCTGGGACTTGGAGTGTGTTGGAGTCACTCTGTGGTAATCCTTAACATGGGTAAGAGCCAAGGTGTGGCTGGCTGGCTGCAGCACACACAGATATAGCTGACAGCGACTTACATGCTGCAGGCTGTTTCTGAGGAGTCTAGGTTGGAGACTACGAGGCATTGTAAAGGGCACCCCAAGTGACAAGGCAGGGGTGACAACTACTCATTGGTTTGGATTATACCCTGGTGTGTCACACAGAGTGCTTGACTTTGCAATCTTAAAATTCTTTTTACATTGAAAACTTCATAAAAACAAAGTTTTCATAAAAGCAAACTGAAAAAATTGAGATCATGTAGAATCATGCTGCCTCTGCACAGGGGTCATCAGCAAAATTGGAACCTTTGGATCTACAGCAGAAACCTCTAGCACCTGAGCTAACAGAGCAACTCATAGTAATAGTAGGCTGCTATCCTCTGTGTGGGTCAGTCACTAAAGGGGGATGAGACACTATCATCAAACATTATGAGACCTACTGGGAAATGAGAAATGTTGGAACTTGAGAATCTTGGGTTCTATTCCAGATACTGGATGGGGAGTATTCTTTAGTGGTTATATATCCTTCTGCCCTGACCCCAAAAACCTGCCTGCTTATGACCCATCCCCTACCACGTTCCCTACATCCCCAGCCTGTCAGTTTCTGTCCCTGTCTTCTCTGCTTCTATCCTCCTCCAAGTTGCCTGTGTTGAACCTTTTATTCTATCCCTGACTCCGCCCTTACTCCTGGTCCAACCACCAAGCCTCTACTCTTTCCCCCCATGCTCTTGTCTCCTCCTTGCTTGTCCTCTTTGCTCTTCACCCTTCTGCATTCAAATAGGGCTGCTTCCTTTCCTCCTCCTCCAAATTGCCTGTGTTCCAGCATGAGGAGCACTGACAGCACAGGAGTCTTCCTGTTCTCACTTCCAGCATCAAAGAGGTACTCCTGGGGGAATTCTGTGCCACTGCACAATGCAGAATTTTGCAGAAATTAATGTTGTGTGTGCAGAATATCCTTTCCCCCACAGAAATGGGCTGCAGTGCTGCTGGCTGCCACTAGGGGCCACTGGACGCAGCAGAGCCCAGCTCGCACATAGAAGACACTGCCATGGGGAGCGTGAGAGAGCTAGAGGGCTCCCAGCAGCTGCGATTCCTCGTACGCTCTGACGGAAGGAAACGGCGGTGTGCAGGAAAACTCCATGCAAGTCTGGGACTGAGCATTAGGCTGTTTCTCCCTCTGGATCCCTGGACTCAGAGGTCGGGGGGAGGTAGGTGTCTGGGCTCTGGGGGGAGGGGAGGTAGGTGTCTGGGCTCTGGGGGGAGGGGGTGCAGGTATCTGGGCAAAGGGGGGCCATAGCTGGGCTGTGGAGGGGAGGGGTTGTGGGTGTCTGGCCCCCTGGCTGGGCTCGGGGGGGCGGGGAGGGGAGAACAGGAACTGAGTTGTCATAGGGGTTTCCTTAACTTTCTATTCCTGGGGGAATTTTTGTGTGTCTCTGTATTGTTACAGACATACTTGCTGACAGGTATTTTGAAATAAATTACCAAAATAATTGAAACTGGCCTGATTATGTAGCGTTATTTTGACAACTAAAATTTGCAGAATTTTACAATATTTTGTGCAGATTTGGGGGGGGGGCATAGAATTGCCCCAGAAGTAAAGAGGTCCTCCGCAGTCAGAACCAACTGCATGAAAAGCTCTGTCCAGACACAGGTTGGAGCTCACTTAGTGTAGTTAGCACAGAATTCTGTTCAGGTGGAGCATACTCAGTGGAGACAATGTTCACAGAACTTTGCTGACATTCTCTAACAAACCAGTACTCATCATATACAAACAACAATTTTCAGAGACTTAAGTCAGCCAAATTTGGGTAGATTTTCATGGGGACAGCAAATTGTACCTCTCTGAAAACAGGGCAATCCTCATGCAATTTCAAGTCCCTTCTCAAAAACATGGAGGCGCTACAGCTTCCTAAAATAGCTGTAGGAGTGTAACATTAGGAAAAAGCTTCTCAGAAGCAGTTTAACCATTTTGGCTGAAGCAGTCCAAAAAAATTCAACCTGAGCCAGATACCCGGCATGGAAAATTTCATCTTAAACAGTTTAAAGTTTGGTAAAGTTACAGCCAATTGAGAACGGTCTTAAAATGGAAAGCATTAGACAACCTTAGCTATAGTTGGCACTGCCAGCTCTGCCTCTAATACAAGTTAAAATTTCTGGTAGTATTTAATCTAAAATTATTCACTAATATTTCATATAAACTGAATTTATTTATTTTTTAACTAAAATACATGAGTGGTGAAAAAAAAAATCTAGCAAACAATTTTCTACAAAAGTTTGTTACTCTGGTTTTAAAAACTCTATATTTACAGCTGATCGCGCTGATAAGTAGTAAATTAAAAATCTGCATTATTACTGCCAAGTTTATAAGATAAAAGAAATCAAGTATTATTACAAGTATTAAGATATTTATCACCATGATATCTGGGTAAAAAAATATTTTCTAATTCACCACTAACAGATGCCTCTTTAGCACGTAAGTAGTATAATATTAGTGTTAAAATACCATACCTGAGTTGGTGTTCCCTCAGATTAGACAAGGCTTCCATTCCATGTAAATAAGAATACACTATCTCCAAATCCTGCAAACAGATAGAAAACATTTATTATGCTTCTTGTATCAGCATAAGGTACCAAAATTGTTACCATCTTTACAGAGCTCCCAACAATCTTCTACTGAGTTTGCTAGAAATATTACAAATACATGTTCCAAATAGTATATTTACATTAGGCAGAGCATGAAAGTTTTGTTAGTGTTCTGCATTTACATACAAGAAACTTTTAATGGAACATTATATACAAGTATGCTTTCAACATCACTAAAAGTATAAACAAAAAGAAAATCTTTATGTTTTTGCTGTGGTTCTTCTTGTGATTGATTTGACTATAAAGACAGAAGTCTGGCCCGTGATTTTAGTTGGCTGTTTTCATTTAATAATTCAACTAACATCACAATTCCTCTGCTTCCTTCTATCGAGGTATTATCGGACTTTCATTTCTTTTGTGAAAGCAGGCTCAGGGGAACTCAGTATCTACAACGGAAGGCATGTCTACACGTACAGCACTGCAGTGCAGCTCCAGTACATCTGGTGAAGACACTATATGCCAATACGAGAGAGCGCTCCTGTCAGCATAATAAAACCACCTCCACAAAACGGCAGAAACTATGTCAACAAAAGAAGCTGCCCACACTGCTGCTTTATGTCACTGTAACTTTTGTCCCTCGGGGGTGGTTTATTCACACCCCAAGTGACATAAATTCTGCCGACATAAGCTGTAGTGTAGACATAGCCTGAGTGTTTTTATGGGGGGGGGGGGGGGGGGAAAATTAATTCTTTTTTTTTTTTAAATGTTAACCTCATGCCCAATATTCTTCTTTTCAGCCCAACCCACTTAGTGTTTCTAAAAATAAACACTACTATATGAGAAAGCACAGTTACAATCCTAATTACATGAGAAAGCTTTAAAGCCAGGGCAATGAGAGGATCTACCAAATGAATTACTATAGCCCTCAGATAGCCAATTCACTAAAACAGTAATGTTTAAGAAGATTAAAAGCTATTAAACATGCCAAGATTTAACTACAGGAATACCAGCCTGAAATTACAGAATTTGGATCATATCCTAATTGTCATCCTCTAAAAACCAGTACACCCAGGGACACTTCATTCAGGCTCATTCCATGCCACAGTTGGCACTATTTAACTATGGTAGAGGGTTTGATATTGTAACTGTACACTTTTTAAATGGAACTTAGTCATAGGGGACAATTGCTTATCTGCTCTTCTTAAGAAAACCATAACAGAAGCTTGCTACTTGAGGTTGTGGCAGACATAGCTTCAACTATAGAAAGCAAGTGCAAAAATAAGATTTCTTCTCCAGAGTAAACAGCTGAGAATCAGTCAACATCAAAACCACATTTCCAGCTAGCCCATTGCAAAAGACTATATTAAACAGATAAGTCATCAATATGTAATATGTGGACATGGGGAAGTTTTTGTTGTTTTTAGTGGATTGCAACGTGGAGAAGCATTACAGTTTTCTACAGAAACATATGGAATTAATCCATGTATATTATCTTGGTGAAAAACTTAAAAATGTATTCAAGTCTTAGATGTCAGACAGGTGGAATTTTCTCTAATATATTTTTAGATATGAGGTGAAAAGATAAGTACTAGTATGCTTCTGCGTTTTTACAAGTATTACCATCACATTTGTTTAAACCGTAATTGTGCATCAAAGAAAGTAGAACAGTAATTACACTCAATGTTTGAGACACTGGACAAAAAAGAATGATCCCCTGGAGCTAAATTAGTACTAACGTGAAAAACTGGGTATTCCTACTGAGAAAAATCATTAAGAAAAGGAAGAGATAACAGGCTGAAGAAACCCAATGAGATACATGAGTAAGCCACAGAACTCCAACAGTATTTACTAGCTCCTAGGACTTGCTCTTCAACCTTCTACGCTATATGGATTCTTATGCCACCCTCATCGCTGTTGAATCCAAGTGCCCTCCAGAACTGCATTAAGCAACATGACTACCATTTATCGCATGTGGTTCATATTCTCTCTCATCTTCTCTCCAAGGGAAAAATTGTGCATACAGTGTAGTGTTTGGTGGCAGGGTTTTTGGTTTGGTTTTGGGTTTTTTGTGTGTTTTTTTTTAATTAATGTACATGCTGCTATATATTTTTGAGAATGCAAGGTTGGAGAAATATGCCTTGCACTTGGAGTATAAGATGCAAGGATTTTGATGGTCCTTAGTTCTTGTGGGACTTGTTCCTGTCTTGGACAGCCCTGAGAAAGGTCTGTCTCCTGCAAAAGACTAGCTTTTGCCCTTATGGTAACCAGTTCCATTGTGCCTAAAGAGCAGAGCTGTTTACCAGAGTCTTCATCCCAGAGTTTTACGTCATCTTTTAGATATGCTGTGCCCAGGTCACTGACCAATTTTAAGATAAAATGCTGGGACCTTAAACTTGACTCAATATTCTACGGAAAGCCACTGCAGAGACAGAACAGGATTGATGCGCTCACAGTAGCCCATGTTGCTGAGATGTGCTGCAGCATTCTGTAGCAGCTGGAGTTTTCTTCAGGCTGATGGCTTCATGCCCAGGTGTACTGCATTGCTATAGTCCAGATGGGAGTTGATGAAAGTGTATAACTGAGGCCAGGTCATCATCCACCAGGATGGGATAGATTCTCAGGTCAACCAGAGGGCTTTCTTCTGCCCCCAGCATAATCTCTGCCTTGCTTTGGTTGAGCTTCCACCAGCTGTTCTCCATCTATAAGCAGGATCTCATCTAAGCAATGAACCATCTTTGTGGTAGCAGTATGATCATATGTGCTGAAAGATAAGTAGAGCTGTCTCTCATCTATATCCTGCTGGCACTTGAGTCCACCTCATCTTATCAGTTCACCTAGTGGCTGCATGCAGATGCTGAATAGGACTAGAGAGCTACTGATCCTTGTGAAATTCCACAAGCGAAGAATCTAGTGCTACAGATCCAGTTTCCCACTACTGCTCTTTGGGTGGGACTCAGAGCAGTTTGGCACATTCATCCGGACCACTGCCATCTCTCTCAATTGGGATCAGCAGTACCTCATGGTCAAATGCTGCTGAGAGGTCCATGAGAATGAGAATGGATGTTTCCCACCAACTTCATCTTCTCCCCCAACCCCCACAAGCTCCTAGCAGAAGCTAACATTAAAATGATGTGCTGACAAGATGTGTCATAATAAATTGAGACTGGAACAGAAATCTCTCCACACAATTCAGAGATATTCCAAGAATCTTATTTTAAAAGGTGGATGACTTTTTAAAAACGGAATTTTACTTAGGTATTTACCAAATCAAAATCAGAATTGTTAACACTTACTGGATGGTAGTTCCTTTCCAAAAGAAGAAAAGACAACTAGAATGAGACAGCGATTTTAAAAAGTAAATTTATATTTAGAGCACCATTGCCTACCACATTCTGAAGGTTCTTGAAGCATAGTAAGAAATTAAACAGATTTACACAAAAAGAACAAGGGTCCAAAGATGCTGTAAAGGTCAGCATGGCATAGCCAAAGAAAAAAATGCAGGTTGATAGATTATTGAAAGAATAAATTGAAAAACATTGACATTTAAGTGTGAACCTAAACTTGAGAAATATATAGCATGAAGGGGGACTTACAAAGATTTGTCTTTGCAATTTCAACAGTAAATTTTCTCACTTTACAAGTAAAGGGACGGACTTAGTGCTCAATCCTTCTAATTTCTCATTAATTTGGGAGGGGGGGGGGATTTTAACTTCACAAATTTATACTTGATGGTGCAGAAGCCATATTTATATGGCACCACAATGATAGATGCTGGCTGGGGCAATAAGAGAAAAACGAGAAAATGTGGAGACAGCCCACAATCAGGGGGGTCTGAAAATTGTCTGTATTTTGGCATGTGAAAAACAAGCAGGAATGAAATAGCCAGTACCTCCAAACAGCAGAATCTTATGAAAACAAAACGAACTATTGAACACGAATTTCAGCTGATGCTTGACTTAACACCATTGCATGACCAATTCCTTGCAACACTGCTGTTACCTATTTTAAAAGGAGTGTCTTTCAAGAGAACAAAGCTGCTAATAGGAAATAGCTCCCCCTGGCATTCACAAAGAAAATAAAGTAAAAAAGCAAAAGCTTTTCACAATATCCTCCCTTAACTTGTCAAGCTCTGTTAAACCCATAGAATGCTACAATTTGTGGAATGATTCAGTGGAGCCAGACATGAGGCTGAATACATTTCTATCTGTTACCAATATATACTCTGTACACTTGTGTGTAGTTTGGTTCATTGTAGTGCTAACAGGAGAAAAACGCAGTTATAACTTTAAAAATTCAGGAAAAAATTAACTGTAAAATCCTCATCGAACATTACATCCACCACAATCTCTCACCAACAAGAGGATAACTATACAGTCCCTGAAATTCAATCACAAGATAGCAATCAAGACAGCAGACAAAGGGAGTGCCACTGCAGTCCTTAACTGTGATGACTGTGTCATGAAGGCCAGCAAACACTCTGACTCCATGCATCTGAAGAAGTGGGTTTTTACCCATGAAAGCTTATGCCCAAATAAATCTGTTAGTCTTTAAGGTGCCACCAGACTTTTCATTGTTTTTGCACCGACTATAAAGAACTCAAATACAATCCCACACCACAGTTCACCCAGTAATTTAAGGATACCATCAAATCCTTCCCCAAACTCCTCCCAGAGAAACTCTACAACCTCATCCCCCACAACTTCTACATGCTTCCCAAGACACCCAAACAAGGAAACCCAGGCAGACCCATCATATCTGACACAGCACCCTTACTGAAGGAATACTTGGGCCTGGTCTACACTACGATTTTAGGTCAAATTTAGCAGCGTTACCTCGATTTAAGCCTGGACCCGTCCACACGACTTTTTTTCGGCTTAAAGGGCTCTTTAAATCGATTTCTTTAATCCACCTCCGACGAGGGGATTATCGCTGAAACCGGCCTTTCCCGGTCGGATTTGGGGTAGTGTGGATGCAATTCGACAGTATTGGCCTCCGG